TAAGAAATGACTAAATAAGCATTTTAAAACTACATTTTTTATTAATTTGGTTCATAACTTGCTTCGAAATTAAAATATAACTAATATAAGTAAAAGCATCCGGAAATCTTAGACAATAAAATTACCTTTACTATTTTTATAATAAGTCAATCTAAATTTTAATTAAAAAAATGGATTATTGTGAATGTAATTTTACTATGCGGTATATTTGTGAGAYGGAGACAACACATGCGGGTGAGGCGTCCTCTTAAGTTTTAAGTTGATGTCAGTATACCATTTGTTTTCCTTCCAAATACATGTGTGACATGCCAAAATTATGTCTAGCAAACTCAACTATGTGTTGTTGCTTTTAATATTAAAGTAAATTCTAAACTTTGAATAAAAAAAAAACCTTTAAATTCAAACTTTAAGCTAAGAATCTGTGTAATGTTTTCCCCATGTATTTTTAAAATAATTTTAAATTTTATACAATTTATAAGCATTTTCCATCATCCATAAGTTGTAATAATTTACAAAAAAATTAAAATATCATAAAATAGCTAAAGTAGAGATGCAGATGATAATGTTCTTAACTTTAAGTTTAATTTAATAAGTCGAATTCGATCTCTTATTAAAATGATTAGTATAGGGTTGGTTGTTGGTTTTGCTATATGTAAATTTGCTATGTTGCATGTCGGTCTGAGTCTAAACTCCAGAGAAAGAAGAAAACAAATAGTGCGATGGCTGCTGACATCCTTTTAAGGAATAATTTTAGAATAATATGTTAAAGGTGCTTTTGAGCCTGTTGAGGTTTTATATTCCTATATATATACTAATGTATAAAGAAAATAGAAGAGGGACTCAGCGGGTGTTGGATGAAACATTATTCCACAAAAAATTAATACCATCATTTAACTATGGGACTTCGCCTCCCACACACCCTCCCTTCAGCAACAATTACATGAAAACAATATTGAATTTGCCCTAGAAATATATATTTATAAAAAGGAAGAAAACACTTATTCATTAGATAATTATATATTTTTTTAAAACATCAAATTGGTCAATTATAAATAAATTATGCATTAAAYTTTCAAGGTTCACAAATGTTGATATAACTATCTTGCATAATAAAACTTTTTATCACTGTACTTTATTAGCAATAAGGAATTTAAAGAATTTTTTTTTGTAGGTTTATAGTAAAATAATTATGGTTATTATATTTTGCATCGGAAAAACTGTCAATTTACTAATTACCTAGWAAATGTTGCGTTCCCAGTGTTTCGCTTCAACATTATAGAAAAGACAGGATAAAAAAAGAATAGGAACTTCCCTAACCCTATACCAACTTAATATTACAAAATTATGTGTTTTTGTACTTACGATTAGTTTGGCGACAACGGGCATATTTTCTATCGGAAAATCGTGCAAGCCTAATTCGCGAGATTCTGGCGATGCAAGAGCGTAGGCGCAGGACAACACTTTTTCCAATTTGTCCTTGKGTACTGTCGGGTATTCGGCAGTCAGGTCGTTTAGCATGTTCTAGACATTAAATTATAATTAAATTATTTCAAATACAAATAAATAATAGAGTCATTAACGATAAATTCATTTCGGGAAACTTTTGAGGTAGGCACTAGACGAGTCCGCATATAATAGTTTTAGTCACGCTATAGGGCATTATACAGAAGTTTGATATAGGTGATATAAAAATAAATCCAAGTGGGTGATTGCAGYGGGGGTTGATTACAATGTTTCGCTTGACGACTTTTTCCACTCTATAGGCAATTGTCATTAGTTTAAAGACCTAGGAGCATGMATTTTTAAAAAAACTTTTTTGTTTTGATTGCTGCGGGTATCATTATAATAGGTAATCGCTGTTCGTAAAGACATAAAACTGTCGATAAAAACATTAAGCCGCAGTAGCACCTTTTAAAAACTTTTTATGAGTTTTCACCTACGACTTGGGAAATTTATTTAATATTGAACTTATTTCAATATTTTTTATAGGTACTATTATATTTATGTATATTAATTTAGAATTAGTACTCTTACTTTATTACAGTTTATACTAAACTAAATAGGTACATCTAAAATATTTTTATACGAATAATTAATTTGTAACATCCCCTCCCCTAAAACTACACAGTAAATAATGTTCGTATGATGCAGCTAAATGTTMATACTTAAAATAAATATCAATACATGTTTTACAAAACAAATGTAATCACTTATAATTCATTATTCACATGATATATTTTTTTATTCATTTAAAATTGTCTAGTGGTAGAATTGGCTTCTTACAAGAATTTTAAAAAAAGCAAAACCTAAATGAAATTTCTAAGATGATCTCTTAAAAATAAAATGTTTATGCACCTATAGATTAAATATATTATGAAAACAAAATACGTTTTAGTCATTTTTCTTTAAATAAAAATATATTATTAACTGTGAAAACTTGAGAAATTTTACTGTTATTTTAATAATAATTATCATTTTCTAATTCAAATTTTCAAAATACCACGAACATATTTGATATTTATACTATTATACTGTTCTAAGGTACCTATGTTGGTTTTGACTTAAAAGCTATAATAACAATATTTTGATAAATGCTACGACAAAAATTTATTCAAACTAAAGTATTASTTTTAAGTAATAGGAATATGAACAATGTTGAATTCAAATTTAACACATTTATACTTTATAGTGACCTATTCAATGACGAGGTATAATCAAAGTATATAATATACTAGCTACTAGCTGTATAAAGTTGAGCGACTTCGTGGTTTTATATTTTAAATTATAAACGTAATAAAAAATACGAGTATTCGTGAACTAGTGAATATTAATTGTCTTGTGAATTATCTGATTTAATTTAAAGTTTAAAAAGTAATTATATTTTAATTTTTAATTAAAGCGTTTTTCRTTGTCTAAATTGTTATTATAATGTATAGGTACATTTTATTGCTGCACGCCAATTTAAAAAAACGAATTTGAAGTTTCGGTTTAAATTGTGATTATGATTTACACATCTTATTGGAGTAAGTCAATTTGTACCAATTTRATGTTTCGAACATAATAAGTTGTATGACCAATCCAAATCCGAATTCCTAATCCGATTATCATCAATAAACATTTAAAATACATTATTAATACCCCAACTTTTATATTATAGATATGAGTTTTATCTCTCGTCATAAACACGTAAACAAAATAATYAAAATAAATGATGAGTTTTTACAAAAAAATTTCGTCAAATTGAGAAAACGTAGCTAATTTTACTGATTAGTGTAAAAATATTTAATAAWTGAGGATTCACATGGCATTTCATACACACAAGACACAACACATAGTTCGCGSGCACATAGTATGATATATAATTAAATAAATATTCCATTCAACAGTAAACAATAATTGCGAGCGATTAAAAAAAAAAAACCCTAAAATAATGCGGTATACAATTCAATGTGTGCTGTCTTTTATTATTCGTTCTACGACTGCGTTGTTTGTGTTTATCGTCACGGAAATTTCTATTTTTTTTTTTATTCATACCTCAATAAACGTTACCACGGAGGTAACTATATATAATCTACGTTTATTCGTTTTTGAAAACCGTATAATAATGACACTGTCACATTAAAAAAAGAAGCTATGCACAGTTATAATATATATTTATATATACACCACCACGCTGCACGCCGGCAAATATATATTTATATATACACCACCAAGCTGCACGCCGGCGACGACGGTAACCGCGCGATACGCGTTTCGAGGAAAAATAAAACGCMGGACGACTTATCCGCGGGCGTCTCTCTACGATGGGGTGCATGGGTGGGGAGCACGATGGCGTGTGCATGTCTAAAAGTCGTTGGTTTCGCGACGAGGGGGTCGTCATTTACGACACACACAAGCGCACAAGAAACGTTTACACAAATGTGTACGGCGATTTTGAATTCGGAATAATAATAATAATATAACTTATAAGTGCAGGTTCAGACGGTTCAGTCGGCATCCTGGGCGTGTACGACTCGGAGCGCTCTCGGAATTCTCGACTCTACGAATGCGATTATGAAGACAGCCGACACGAACCCGTACGAGTTTTTCCGCTGGAAATCGTCGTGCGGACGGCTTGTGGTTCGGACCACGTGGGTGAGTGGCGTCCGGCATGTCTTGTTGTCCGACGACGACAAATCGTCCGAAAAAGAAAAACGATCGCAGCTCCGGCGGCGGACGGCACACTTGGACCGTGGGACTCAGAGCTCGCGAATAGTCGACGACCACGTCGATGAGGACAGTGAACACAATTGCAACGATGATGACAATAATTACGTGGAACGCGTGTTACAGTGGCTGCAGAAGCCGTCGGTGGAACTTGATGCCCGCCGGAAACCCATGTCGGCGCCGGGCAGCGATGCTCGCGGCTGCAGGCGTCCGGCGCTTGTCAAGACCTGTTCGATCCCAGAACGCCATAATCCTAGGTCCGAACATCGGCAGGCAATCGTTATCCACGACGACAGGCCGATTACGACGACAACGAGATCCGGCGTAAAATATCGGCACAAAACCGAATTGCACGTCCACATGCCATCCGTGCTGCAGGGTGGTGGTCCAGCAATTACCGACGACTACGGTAAAATCGCCAACGACTACGAATGTTATTAGCGAGTCCGGTTTTTCGGAGTGTAATAATTAAGTACACGAAATGTTCAAAAATTATTCGTCTCGACTCAGTGCCGTAGACAGGAGGAACCCTCCCAGTATTTTTTTTTTCATAAATACTTAGATAACATTATGCTTTATTATTTTAATAAAAGGTTTACATCAATTTCAGACACTTTAACTTCCCTGTTATACCCGATAATTACTTTCTAAACTTCTAATGTATTTAATAATACCAGTGTTTTAATCGAGAAAAATTGGAATGGGGATGYAAAAGTGTAAAAAAAATGTGTATATTAGGTACCAGAATGTTTAAATGTCTTATTAATTATGATATTTAACTAGAAAGGGTATGTATATAAATTTATAAAAAAAGGACTATGTTCTCTGTCTCAATTAAAGCACTGAGTAATCCCAGTATTTGATGAAATTAAACTGGTTGGTTATAAATTATTCGAATACAATTAACATTTAAAATTACTTAAATAACCCTGTGAAAAGGAGAATTTGTTTTGAGCAAGTGAAATAGAAGAAGGCAAGCCAAAATAAATGCCTCGCTATAGTACTATGGTTTTGTACATGTCAAACTATATGATTCGTGCCTATGCAATTTAATATAGTATTAGGTAGTTTTGTAATATTGGTATGATAAGTTAGCAAGACATTTGTTAAAATAAAAAAGTCATAATACATAACGAGAAGATAACAATTTATTATAGTTTGTTAATAACTTTAATGTTGCATAGGAAATCGGTAATATTTAAACTAAAATTAACAAAATACAATACTAATTTTTAGGAACACCTACCAAAAAAAAAAAAAATATATATATATATAAATATATATCAAATTGTATAATGTATGATCCTGTTAAATTAAATATTGTGCAATATTTGTGATTAATGTTTTAATGTAATTTAGAACCTACACTTTAAGACATATTTTTATGATGTTGGGTTGGAAGAACAAAATGCTAAGAAAATTTGAATAGTGAAATAATATTTTATGATAAACAAACAAATTAATATATTTATTAATTAATAGTTGTATAAAYAAACAGCTTGTAAGCTTGTTTTCTATTTATTATGATTTATTTATTTTTTATGTACCTATGACTGTATAAGAAGTTATTATTTTATTATTAATTAAAATAATCTTGAAATGTTATAATCTTTGCAGTTTTAAAGAATGTTATTAGGTTTGAATAATTACATATTTTATTTCTGTTGAACCATACAATTTTTTATAGTTTAATGAGATATATTATTGTAAATAAAGTTAAGAAAAAATTTAACATAAATGTCAAAATTTCAAAATATTATGTACAAATTTATAAATGTCAAAGTTATGTTTTTTTTTTATAGAAATAAAATTATTAAAATATTCTGCTTCAAAGTAGAATACACCATTTCAGAGCGTATTTTTCCTCTACCGACAGGTATTAATTATGCCGCTATGTGGKAGATGTGCACTACCAGACAGAATCAGGTTGTTGCCTGTTGTATTCTGCCTTGAAACAGAGTTTAAATCTAATCTTACCGTATAAGATGGAGTCATGATATGTCTAGCTTGAAATCGTGAACGTAAAGGAGGATCTAGAGGAATGCCATTATATGTAGGAACTGGCAAACCAAGTGCAATAACAAAGAAATCTTCACTAACACGAACCAGATTCCATTTCATCATGTGCTCTAAACCATGCTCCTAAAATATGTACACACATATTAATAAATCTCAATATTCATRTAATAAAAGTAATCAATAATTTTTACCTGTAACAATTTATCATATGTTTTGGGTGCTACTAAAAATCTACCATCTTCTAAATGAATCTCTCGGTTTTCGAGTAAGTTGTTTAGAATTGGTAAAACATTGCGTTCCGCTTTTTCAATCCCATCAAGAATTAATACATGTCCTTTAATTGCAGCTTTAACAGCACTCTATAAAATTAATTCTATAGTTTAAATATGACAAAACTAATATTAATAGATTAAAATAAAATTTACTTGGTTGATATATTTTGCAGTGCCTCCAACTATTTCTCTGCGTTGTTTCAAATCAGCTTCAGTAGTATCTTGAGACAATGAAACAAACTCAACAGATTTATTGGTAAGCTCTAAATAAGCTAAAGCTAAACGCCGTCTAAGAGGCCCAGGTTTTCCTATTAAAAACATGTCTTGACCAAGAATATCTTTTTGAAGCATCCATCGTAAGTGGGACATAGCTTCCTGGTTGCAGGCCATGTTTACTGTGAACAAAATATAATACTGTTCTGAATAATGAATTGAGTATACACTTTTTAAAATAAAAATATTTAATCTATAGTTTCCAAAAAATATAATAATTTAAAGCTGAGAAATGAACAAGTGAACATTTAAATAAAACAAATATTAAATAAATGTACAGGAAATGTAAAGAAAGTGTGCATACAAACTATGAGACATAATAATATATTTAAGATAAATAATAAAAAAAATTTATAATTACTTACAATAGTCAACAGGAACAAGTTCAGGAGTTTTTGATGCCTTAGTAAGTTTTCTCACATCACCAATAGTAATTTTTAAAATACCTAGAAAATATTACTTATTTGCATAAATTGACTATTCAAAAGCAACAAAACAGAAATTTTTAAAACTTTTAACGTTTAATAAATTTTGTTTATAACATAATAATATTAATAATAATAATATATAATTTTACTTATGAGAAACTTATGGCAATCACTTAAACAAAAATAGTGATTTATTATTTATTCATCATAAAATTAAATAGTTACCTTCATCATTATTTAAATTAGTTCCTTCACCAGTTCTTTTTCGGTCTGAAGACATAGCTTTAATTTGGGTTTGCTTATAATGAATGAAAAACTGTCTATAACCCACTCTATATTTCCATACATTTGCTAATATCATAGACATTTAATACCTAAAATTAAAAATATAGATCAACACAAGAATAGACTAACATCAAATAATTTAAAAAATAATAGTAAAAGATTATTTATGTCAGCTTTATCAAAATATTAATTATATATTTGTCAGTTAACCTTTGTATGTTTGAATCTTAGACCTGTTGCTATACCTATATAGAATACAATAAGTAACAACTATAATGCTGACATAACCTCCTATAACCATAATTTAATCAAWTTTTTTACATTTTAATTAATGCTTTGATTTAATAAATAATTGGTAATATTATGTTGCTTTTATATTAATTTTCTCTCCTACCTATTTACTATATATCAACTGTTTATTACAGTGGTCAGCAACCAGAGGCCTGTGCGTTATTRTATGCTTAAAAGTTTTAAACAGTTATATTTTTCATAGTAAATAATTTAAGATCTAAATTTTTATTTTTGTCAGGCCCACAAACTCTTTAATTATGTGAATGTCGACTGGGAATCCAAAAAGGTTACCAACTACTCATGTATGAAAATAATATTAATTTCAAGGAATTCAAAAAATATTTTATTTAAATATTACTACCAGGCCCGGATTGAAGCAGTGAGTTACTGAATAAATCTTAGTGGGCAGTTAAAAAATAAGGCTGATCATAAATGTCTGGGCAATTATTTTAAAATACAAATCTAAATACATTTATATACTTCAGTGTGCTGCGTAAAATCTAGGTCAATTTAGAACTGTGTATTTGAAAATTGGCCTTTTAGGACCGGTTAAAACCTAACATTCAGTGGGCCAATACTTTGTCTATTCAACGTTGATTACTACTAATAAATTAGACATTATAATTAGTTTTGGATACTATAAATTAAAATACCAATACAACGTATTTAGTTAAATAAATTGTAGTTTGGTATATAAGTTGTGACTTTAAGCTTAGGACAGTCGTGTATTTTTACTTTTTTTTCTTTCTAAATGCCTTGGGGCTTAATTATTTAAATGACCTAAAGGTATATTTATTTTTATATTTTTTATTATTTTATTCATARATGTTATAACCCAAATATATGCTTTGGATTCATCTATTATTATTTAAAGAATTAATAACCAGAATGTGTGAAAAATGTTATTTGACTAGTATGATAGATAGTAGATACCTAAAGATATTATTATACATAGGTACTATAATTATTTATTATGCAGATTAATGTAACATCCAAAACTGATGATTTAGATAATATATTAAGTTTAAAGAGATTAATATACATTAATATACATTTTCAAAAATAATACTGAACAAGATATGAAAAGACTATTGGTTATTCTTTATTATTAACAGAAAAAKTCTAGTAATAATATTGCATAAAATTAAGTATACGAAAGTAAATACACAACAATTAAGAATAAATGATGGAATATCTAAAATTAAAATTAATTTATATTACCGTTGGAACACAGATCTTATCAGTATCAATTGTAATTATAATGGTTTTTAATAAAAATTAGGTACAATTCGTATTCAATTTAAAGGAACATAAAAAAATTTAATTTAAAAAATATATATATATATTATATTATTATTATTATTTTAATATTAATTAATTGATATAAAATAATCTTAATGTATTTGTAATAATTTTTAAAGCAATAATCATTAATTATTAACTTTTTTGAAATACTTTTTGTTATTTTATTGAAAAGGGCAGATTTAGAAACTTTTTTGAAATACTTTTCACCAATTGAGATTTGTGGACCGAGTACTGACGTAATAGCGTAATACCTAATGTCAATGTAATAACTAATAATCAAGAATTCAAGACTAGCCACTAGGTATATAATTTCAATTTTCAACTTTCAACTTTCAAGGTGTTTTATTCAATGTTATCATTTTATCAACACGTGTAGTGATAATAATATATAGATTAATTCCACGGACTATGATTATAATCATGTAATAAAAACACAAAAGAATAATTTCAAATAAGTTTTTCTCCCATGGACAGATTGATATCCCACTATCAGTGTCGTTATGTAGTATCTTTCACGTGTAWTATGCCTTAATTATTTGTTTTAAAATTTTAACACAGATTATATATAATTTATATAATCTGTGGTTTTAATTTGAATTTAACTATTATGTTTTGAATTTGAGGAGTACCATTTAATATTATTATTTATTATATTGACTCAAATACTCTATAGTATTTGATTGACTTCAGTCTTAGTTATTTGACTATATTATTGATTACTTTAGTTTTAATACTGCTGAGACTACCAGGTAAAATAATTTTCTTGACATTGCTGTGTTCTGACACAACACAGTAGCATCATGACTATGAAAGTGACATCGAAAACGTTTATACGTAAAACCAAGCGTGGTAATATTTTAAAGGTTAGTGTCTTTGCCATTTAATTATCTCAATATAATATTTATACTCTTGTAAATAATCCATTTAGATTGTACGCGAACACTACTTAAGAGATGATATAGGTTGTGGCTCAAAAATATGCAAGAAGTGTAAGCACAACAGCGAACGTCCACTCGTCAAACACCAATCTATTAACAAGGATTTCCCGGACAAACATTATTTATTAGTGGACACAAATGTAGTTTTGCATCAGGTATTTATTATGGTTAAGGATTTCTATTTTTTTGATTGAATATTTTTGTTTTTTAATGTTTTCGATTTTTACACTTAATATTTAAATAATAAGATTTAAATTATGTTTTTAATCAGGGTCGCATCTTGGCCTAGGTTTGAGAGGACCAACTGGTGCCCTAGGGTGGCAAATTTTGAATCTAATTGAAAAGTCTGTTGGTTCCTCTGAGCTTTGTAGCATATTATTGCTGGCCTAGGGCGSCACTTGTGCTATATTGGCCCTGATTTTAACATTATCATTTAACAGTTTTATAAAAATTATTTAATATTTAATTAATTTTTATTGATTATAGATAGATGCTCTGGAAGATGAGACTTTGAAGAATGTCATTATTTTACAAACTGTACTTGAAGAAGTCAAACATCTCAGTCATAGTGTATATAAACGCTTAATGGATATTATTGGAAATTATTCTAGAAGTTTTTATGTGTTTGTCAATGTTTATCATAGGTAAGAAATATTTATATTACCTACCTATTTAATCTAAGTATTTACATTTTATACTTAGATTTTAACTTTGTTCATCATTTTCATTGTCTTATTGCTAAAATTATTAGATTAACTAATTACCCGATAAATTCATACTTCATTTCTAAAATCCAATAAACWAWTWGAATAGRATCTATTGTTTTAATTGAAAATCGTACAATGTGCTATTTTGATTTTTAATATCTCGAAATAATTTGTAATGAATCTTGATTAYTAGTTATTTGATGAATTAATTGAAAATATAAATTAATTTCTTTATCTTGGTTTGTATTAAATTAAGGGATACATATGTTGAACGTGTTCGAGGAGAAAGCCCAAATGATTACAATGACCGTATGATTAGGGTAGCAGCTCTTTGGTATAATAAACATTTGGACGATAAGATAAAAGTATTATTATTATCCAGCGATGAAGCTAGTAAGGCTAAAGCAATTAATGAAGGAATACCTACAATGTCACGTGAGTTAGTTAAAATTAAAAACTTAAACATTGTTGAGTATATTTGTATAATTGATTTTTAGTTGAACAATATGTTAGTGGGTTAAACAATGTTACATTAACTGATAAACTATCCAATCGCTCATGTATGGTAGAAGAAACTAGTAAAGAACCAATTTTTCCTCCTCATTTAACTCCAGCAAAAATACATCAGGGCATAAAGTCTGGAAAACTCATGCAGGGCACATTTTTTGCGTCTGTTGATAATTTTCTCGAAGGAAATGTTTTTGTGGAAGGACAAGAAAAAAATGTAAATTTGTGTTGCATCAATACAATAATTTTCATTTATTAATTTAAAATTCTATTTTAGATATTGCTTCAAGGSAGAGAAAATTTAAATCGGGCCATCAATGGTGATATTGTTGCCATTCAAATGCTTCCGGAAAGTCAATGGAGTGCACCTGCTAATTTAGTTCTAGCAGATTATGGTAAAAAAATAATTTAGTTATTTTGTAGATATCATATTATTAAACACTTTCCAAACTTAATAGATGATTTGGACTTGGAAAATAATTTAAATACTGTTGAAAAACCAAAGGAAAAATACCCAACTGGTCAAGTGGTTGGAATAATACGAAAAAAATGGAGACAGTATTGTGGGATTATCCAACATAGTCTTGTTGAAAATGTTAGTATATACCATGCATTTATATGATTATGAATTTAAACAATATTATAAATAACGGCCAGTAATTTTTTGAAAATTAATGTCTGGTTACTTTTTGTCAGGCAACTCGGCATTTATTTGTACCAGCAGAAAAAAAAATTCCAAAAATAAGGATAGAAACTAGACAATATGAAAAATTAAAAGATCAACGTGTTATTGTTTCCATTGACACATGGCCAAGAACCTCAAGATATCCATTGGTTTGTGTAGAATTTCTATTTTAGCAGTTTTCCATTACTTTATGGGAATATATATATTATGTTTACAGGGTCATTTTGTGAGGTCGCTTGGTAAAATTGGTGAAAGGGATGCTGAAAATGAAGTTATATTATTAGAACATGATGTCCCGCACAGTAAATTTTCAGATGAAGTTTTAGGTTGTTTACCAAAAGAAACATGGACTATTAGTGCTACAGTAAGTATTTTTAGCTATTTTGATCTAGTTAACCTTTAAATAAAAGTTATAAGTACCATACAACATTTAAACTTTGAAAAATAGATTTATTTTTTTGAAAATTAACATAACAAATTACAGATTTTTAGTACAATAAGTAGATTTATATAATATTCATGATATGAAATAGATTACTTTAAATCATCAATATAATAATATCTATACTATTCAGAGTCCATCCAATTATTTTGTGGTTGGAGTAATAAATATATATCTCCACTAGTATTATCCTCATTATCCTTACAC